GAACTGCGCTACGGAGTGATCGAGACACACTAATGTTTACCGAACATTACCGAATATGGACGGTGCTTTACGAAATAACAGAGATGTCCATACGCGTACCTAAGAGCGTTTTATTTAATCGATTCTAATTGAAATTGACAAAATTATATTGTAGAAATATATTTGTATAAAAAGCATTTATGAATGTAAAAATTTTTTTAAATAAGTTTAAATCGTATGTTAAAGAAAAACTGCTTGGAAAGAGCTCTTATAACGTAAAATTTAATGTGAAAATTTAATTGATAAAAATGTTCGAGGTACCCGCTCCAACAAAGAAGAAGATGAACACCTAAGTGCGTAAGGAATGTAATAAAAAGTTGGAAATTAAAAGAAGTGGCGGCGAGTTTTTTGCCAGTTCTTCTCGTTTTTTAAACGCTTTTAACTTGGAAACAGGTAGTAACTGTAAATTTAGAATTTTACATTTTTAACTATTTTGTCGTTCATAAGTGTACTAAGCTACCTACATTAATAAATTATTTTTAATTTTGATTTATATTTAAATAAATCACGTCGTTTAATAAAGAAATAGAAGTTTTAATTATTTTATTTTCCTTTAAAGTAATGATGGTATCGTTTATTAACAACACCATTCACTGTTTCCGTAAATCCGTTAAGTACAATATCTCTTACGATTAACAATCCAAGTTGAGTCAATCTTAGACCGTGCACGTCGGTTTTACCACTGTTAACATTCTAAGGAACATTTCTTCGCAAGGTTTCGCGCGAACTTCAGACTTACCAAGTTGCGTCAATTATTTATATTTTATTGCAAAGTAAATACGATATGAATGTCCAATGGCGGTGGTCATATTCACATACGCCATTATCACGTAGAAATAAAATGTGACAGTTGGCATCTGACTGTTTGACAGTTCAATTGCGGTTGGTCGACTGCGTTACCAAGCTTTTCGCACTGCGTTAGTCGCAGAATAAGATTAAATGAACGACAATACATTTATTTATTAAATCTATCTTTTATATATTTATATATACTAAATCCATTATTCCATTCCCCTTTTATGGCTTTTAGCTAAAGCTAAATCGTTAAATGTATGCACATTAAATGCGATGAGTTTGCAAAAGTTCTCCCTCTTTCCTCAGTAATAGCGATAGTTATCGAATTTATTCAACCATAAAATAAAATATCACTTCACTTATAAGAAATGTTGAATAATTAAAGAGCTTACATTTTCTTAATTTAATCTTAAAATTATTATTTTAATGGATATTAATAATATAGCACACGAGAGCAATAAATATGTAAACGTGTTAGGTAGACCAATTGCCAGAGGTAACAAACTGCGTACCATAAAAAATAGTTCTTTAAACGCTGCAAAAGTATTTGCAAAGATTAGTAAGAAAAAGTCATAGTGTGTTATAAAAATTTGCTTAAAATGCATGTATATTTATATTTGCAATATTATATAGCAACACTTACGACAAATAAAACACTTTTAACGGTTTAAACGCCAACAGCAGCAGCCATAATAGTTTAATGGGATACATTTTTATCATAATATAACTTGAAGACCCCAATAATGTCTCAATCAATATCAATGTACAATCTCAGACACAACAGTGTTTATAGGACCCCAAAATTTTCACCCTCGAAAGTTTCGACCCCAAATAAGCAGTTCTTTTGTCACCCCCTATGACGTCACAATATCAAAATAACCTATCAACATTGAGCCATTTGTCCACCCTTGCACGGCTCGGCGGGCGAGTAAATGGGTCGGTCGACCCTGGGGGTATAAATAAACGACACAGAACTGTAAGTCCTAAGAAAAACAGAAGAAAAGAAGAGTCAACCAATGCCAATCGAGAAATGGGTCAGTTATTTTATACAAATTTATCACTGTATTATTCAAATGTCTGCATCTTAAAGTGAAATATTAAAAATGCTCAGAATAAAATGTTTAAAACCCCTGAACTCGGATAAACCTGAGTCGTCGTGCTCAACTATTTTTTATATTTTGTTGCGCTTAAAAACACGTGTACCGACTTTTTAAAAGGTCTACATTTTTTGAAAATATATATAACTTCAAACACTACCAACTACCTATATTAATTAATATATGTATGTACCTATTATATACTAATACTAATATATAAAGTTTGTTCGTTGAACGCGCTAATCTCAGAAACAACGGGTTCGAATTGAAAAATTTGTGTTGGTTAGTGCATTTATTGAGGAAGGCTATATATCTAAACTTCTATACTCTATACTAATATTATAAATGCGAATGTAACTCTGTATGTCTGTATGTCTGACCGGCTTTAACTCCGAAACTTCTGAACTATAGATAGGCTACTTTTTAATGCCCAAAAAGGGGATGAAAGTTTGTATGGAAATTCGTGGTTTTTATAGCTAGAACAATGAAACTTTCTTCTTTGCTTTTTGGGAATAGGAGTGGGAGTGGGAGTGAGAGTGAGTGTAGGAATGAATGTGGGAGTTAGAGTAGGAGTGATGTGAGGTGAGAGTGTTGCGGCAAAGTAGCACAACATAGATTGGCTGCACAAAATGACGATACTCGCGGAGGAAGTCGCTGGCATAGCTAGTAAAATAAATAATTAAGCGTTTGTTTAACTACTTAAAATTAACAATAGACAATTATTAATTAGTAAATGTGAATTTAGTCTTTAGTTTTTAACTGATGTGACGTTAAATACTGTCTATAGTTTACGCGAGTAGTACACATTTAAATAAAACACTTTAACGGTTTAAAACGCGATATATTAGTTAAACTTATTTGGAAATGATTTTTAACTTCGGCCCGACGTTTCGGATGCTTTGCCGCAGCCGTGGTCACGGGGAGAAGCTAAAAATCATTCTAATTTGAAAACGTTACTCGGTAGCTCAATTGGTAGAGCAACAGCACAGCTGACGATGCCGGTTCAAGTCCTGCCCGAGTCGAAAATTTTTTCAATTTATTTTCGATTATTAAATTGAAAACGTTAACAAACTTTTTCTACTAGCCTAACATTTAACTATACGTATATATTTACATAAAACTGAAGTTTGTTTGTTTCTTTTATTTCTTTCATCTTTTTAGTGTTGCCCTATTTGAATCTGTCAAAAAACGCCAGCAATCCCTCAATCAATCTCGGACAATACCATTCTGATATTTTAACTCACTATGGTTTGAACTGTTGAATGGAAATTCGGAAAATGTTCATTGTGATGAGCTACAGAAATGAATGAAACATTTTGTATGGCTTTGTGATGTATTGTTTTTGAGTCTATTTGTAAATATGCTTGCCGAGAGAGTTACAATTTTATATACTACAGCTCTGCCAGCGACTTTGTCCGCTAAAAATATTTATTTTCGGCATCCAAATTCGTTTTCGAAAATTCATCTTTATAAACTTAAGCTGTTTAACCCACGACGGTCGACAATCTTTAAAATCACATAATCGAAACCAATTTATGGACAAATTATTACTTTGAAATAATCCTTGAAGCATTATTAAAAGTTACTAAATCAGACTGAAATATTAACAATCTATCAATACTTATATATAAAGCTGAAGAGTTTGTTTGTTTGAACGCGGTAATCACAGAAACTTTCAAGGAATTTGAAAATTATTATAGACAAATCCGGTTCAAGATATATGTACGAAAGAATTATTCCTCTTTAAAATATCTAAAAATAAAGTCCGCGACGCTATATGTCTATCTTTTAAGATTAACTTGCAAAAACGACGGGGCCCGAACGACGGGTTGTGACGAAGTCGCTGACACAACAAGTAATGGATAAAAATACAAAAATATCTTTTTAAAATAGACACAAAACGTCTGTAGGATTATTGTACTAATAACTTTATTAGAAAGAATTAGAGAAGAACTTAATATAAGGTAACAGATAGATTATAAACATGGATAAGAATTTATAACGGGTTTGTGGCTTAATGGTAGCAATGTATGGCTGTAAAATACCTTTGTATGTAATGTATTAACGTGGGTTTGATCCGTACCGGATCTAACATGTTTCTTAATTTATAATCTTTCTGAAACATGCTAGACTTCGTCTGGAAGTTTGAGTATAGGGAATCGAAAAATTCCGTCCGGTTCACGAACCACAGTCTACAGATGACAACGCCATGAACCTAATCGAGTCAACCCCGTGCTCGTCTGTCCTCCTCTAACATAAAAAAGAAGCAAATAAGTTTATTTTATTGAGCGGAAAGAGACATTGCTGTCTACTATCAAGAACAGTAAACATCGTGTGTAATTATACGGACCACTTCATATAGTCTGTCTGTCGCTTTCAGAGCGTTCACAAAGCGCCGTCTACAGACTATCTAACCAGACTGTATTGTTGCTTTGTACTGCGATCCGTACGGGGTTTTGTGCTTAAAGACTACTTAGTGGATAGTTACAGAGATCAGGTATTAATTGAAAAATGTTTGCTTCGAACTATTAGAAAGGTACCGTCTATAGTTTACGCGAGTAGTACACATTTAAATAAAACACTTTAACGGTTTAAAACGCGATGTATTAGTTAAACTTATTTGAAAATTATATTTAACTTCCGACGTTTCGGATGCTTTGCAGCAGCCGTGGTCACGGGATGAAGTTTAACTAATATATCGCGTTTTAAACCGTTAAAGTGTTTTATTTAAATGTGTACTACTCGCGTAAACTATAGACAGTATTTACTGTACGTTATTATTAAAAATCATACTTTTTCACATACAAATGATGGCACTGTATAAATTAAAAATTCATTAATAAAATTGACTCGATTACTCAGTTAGAGCAACAGCACGGTAGTTTCGCCGAATACCAACTTCGACGGAATAGATGGCGCTAGCGTAGCAAATTTTTACTTTGACGTCGTAGACATCCTCCATCTTTAGTCTCCCAGTGACCACGGCTGCTGCAAAGCATCCAAAACGTCGGGCCGAAGTTAAAAATCATTTTCAAATAAGTTTAACTAATATATCGCCTATTAACTAACTAAATAACGTATAGAATTAAGTGAAGTAAGAATCAGTTTTTTTATCATCCCTCGCTTGTCTGCATGTGGTGGTTGAACTTTACCGTGATTAAAGCAATTATGCACCCCTTTCTGATAAGGCCCCTGCACGCGACATGCAGCAGCGATAAGGGAGTTCTGATTGATCGGGATTGGAAGTTGCATTTTTATAAGACAAATTATTATTAAAACACTTTTAACGGTTTAAAACGCGAACTAATTTGATTCTAACTACGAACAACAGTTTTTTTTTCCTCGAGTTTCAATTTGCTTAACGCAATGCATTTAATCAACTAGCTACCGAAAAGGGACTGACATAGACAAGTTGATTTATATAATTTAAAAATCGAAAATAAATTGAAAAAAATTTCGACTCGGACAGGACTTGAACCGGCATCGTCAGCTTTCCGTGCTGTTGCTCTACCAATTGAGCTACCGAGTCCTGGCCGAGTCGAAAATTTTTTGAATTTATTTTCGATTTTTAAATTATATAGTGTCTTCATGTGCAATAACAAGTGAAAAATATTAATGTTTTCAAGTTGATTTATTTTAAATTTTTTATAACAGACGAGTACAGACAAGCTGCCATCAGCTACATTACGTTCCTGGTCGTCTTTCGTATTTTCTTGTATTCAATTTTTTTTTAGTTACTAACACATCTATACTAATATACAAAGCTAAGGAGTGATCGCGCTAATTCTACGCGAAGTCGCTGACACAGCTAGTCTTGGATACAGGACAACGTTGTTTTATGAAGTAGGTTATAACCTCAATATCATTTCAACAAGGTACATTACACGCAGACGACCATGACGCACCCCTAATATTGACACGCTCCAGTTGAGAATATTGTATTCCTAATTAGAATTAGTATTAATTATTCATATTTATGATGCCGGGAACGAAATTTGGAAGTAGAGAATAACACGAATTCTACTTATATTTTCCTTGCAAAAAGTTTTTGTGCAATTAGCTTTTAGTGCAATTACCTTTAAATGTAATTTTTAAGAAAATAGAAGAACAATACTAGCGGAATTCAAGTAAACTTTTAACGGTTTAAAACGCAAACTATAAAAGGATCGGCGTTTCGAATGTTCCCCTCGGTGCCCACGGTGACCACGACCGCTGCAAAGCATACAAAACGTAGGAGAGTAAACAGTAAGATATATTAAATACTGTATATAGTTTACGCGAGTAGTACACATTTAAATAAAACACTTTAACGGTTTAAAACGCGATATATTAGTTAAACTTATTTAAAAAATGATTTTTTAAATAAGTTTAACTAATATATCGCGTTTTAAACCGTTAAAGTGTTTTATTTAAAAGTAAGTTATATTTCGCATTTTAATCCGTAAATTATTTTATTTAAATGGGTACTCCCATAAAGTACAGACGATACTTAATTGATTATTTTTCCTTAATAAGTCAATATAAATCAAAATACGTCTAAATTATTATATATTTTTTATGTTTAGATATAAGTCTAATATGATTTGGTGTGGCTTATGGGAGTAAATAAATAGCATCGCTAAGACGTCAATGTGTTCCCACGTGTCCTGCATTCGGATCCCGGGAAAACAATCGCTTAGATCAGAAACTGTATTTCAATTGTATCTGGCCCATCGTACATTCGGAGAACATTCAAACAATAGCATTAGTATGTGTTTAAATAAGTCTGCAGGATTGTGGGAAGCCGTACAAACAAGCGAAGAAATCCAATGCAAAGTCAAGGGCGTGGCAAATAGGTCGGATAATGTGAGGCAAACCTTCGACCTGGGAGCCATTTTTACACTTCAACAAAACGTGTAAGAATATAGGCTTCGAATTTAACCACACATTATAAAGTAAGTTTACGCGTATACACGGTAGCACACTTGCTTAAAGGTAATATAACCCAGCCATATACAACCTGAGCAAGATGCGCTGTTGACCCATTTCGGTGGCAGACTGAAACCGAAAAGTGACTAATAAACTTTCCACCTGTTCTAAAAAAATCGAAGTTTTTCGAATAAAATTTTAACATCCTCAAAATTAAATCACTTTTAATGGTTTAAAACGCGATCTAAATAACTCAGTATTTTTAACCGTTTAAAAAGCTTTAGTTAAAAATTAGTTGCTTAATCTGATAATATTATGTGTACTCAAAACGAAACAAAAATTATAAAGCAAGATATTGTTAATAATGTTTTAGTTGAACGATAAATATTCCACTAATACAAAATTAAAAATTTGTAAAAACAGAGGAATGTTCATTACTGAATAGCCCGTACCGAGTTCTCCTTTTAACTAAACAAAAAAGCAGTTTAACTTTTTCATCGTCATTCAAGGAGCCTCTAATTAGTGTTCAATTCAGTTAAATTTCACCCAAACCATAACATTGGCTTGAAAATTCCAAGTTCAATTTTTACTTTTTGCTGAGATGTGGGGCTTTGGCGCAATTCGGCAGGAATCCAGGTCGTCACTTCCATTGTTCTTCAGTAAGATGAAGGGTAGTCCCCATTGTAATGACGTCATTATGCTTTTAAAACGCCTTTGTAACAACAGCGGGTCTGGGGTCCTTCGACACTTTGGCTTAAATAATTATAGGACGCTTAAAACCGTTTTTCTTTACACATATCTAACAAAACGAATTCATTTAAATAAAAAACATTAACGGTTTAAAACTTTATTTTTTAAATAAGTTTAACTAATGTAAGTATATCGCGTTTTAAGCCGCTAAAGTCTTATATTTAAATATGTACTACTCGCGAATACTACAGGCAGTATTTAAAACGAGTCAACACTGTAAACTAATAAGAAAAAAAATCATTTTCATTTCATTTTGCACAAAATAATACAAATATGTTGAGTAAGGCAGCGACTTTAACATTATATTATAATAATATAATATTTTAATATATAAAAATGTTAATTAAATCATCTCAATTTTCCTTCTTCAATCTTCCATGTTTCTCTATAGTTTTATATTCAAAGTCGGTTCCTTTTGTTAAAAATTATTTCATTATACGTTATTACGTGTTAGATAGATTATATTTATCGCATTCTAAATAGACATCTCTCAGACAATAGAAATTAAATTCAAATACTAGGCAGCTACTTCAAAACGTTGAAGAGTTTTTAGCATCAAGACCCTTAATGATAGACACAACCCATTTAGGCGTAGAGTTCTTAACAATACGAGTAATTCAAGCTCAAACAAAAAGTGGCTGCTATGAATCGTCAAAGAGTTCCTTCGACTCACTCTCAACTCCATCATCAGATCTACATCAAACATTTATTAAATTGTACTGCATTCACACTTCATGAAAAACTCACAAACGCACTAACCCTACGATTCTTTAAAGGGACCCTCTCATATTGTCTGGTCTGGCATCATACCCTAATGACGAAATATTATTTCCAAGAAAATTGGAAATCATGAAAATCGGTCCATAAACGACAGTAACAAATCATAAAAAAACCAGTTACACATATAGTATAGAATTAAAAACCTCTTTTCTTTGAAATACGAAAGTTTAAAATGTATTTCCAATAAATTCTCAAACAGTCTAGAATATTCAAGAACCTCGCTGGAAAATTTGGGAAATGCCACCGACATTTTCCGGCAAGATATACAGCTACTTGATGGAATGTCTGAGTGAAATTTCCACACCGGAAACTCAAGTCGGCGCCTACCGCAGATTCCATTAGGGCTGCTACATTCGATAATTCAATTGTATCTACATCTACAGATAACCTAAGCAATCAAATTATTGCTTTATCTGTGGTTCTATTTGGATTTACTTATTACATAGTATAAAATATCTAACTTTGTATAATAGTTTGATAACTAAAAACTCATGTCTCCTGATCGTTCTTATTTTTATAAAGGTATTCTAACATTTAAATAAAATTCTTTTACGGTTTAAAACGCGATATATTTTAGTTATAGTTGTATGAAAACCTTTAACTAATTATTTAAAATTTATAATTAATAAACTAATATATATCGCGTTTTAAACCGTTAAAGTGTTTTATTTAAATTTCGTACGTAAACTAGAGACAGTATTCTAACATTTTATGTATTCCAATTATTTTTTTTACAATATATCAACTGAGTTCATAAATTTTCAATTTAATATGAATTATTTAGAGATAATACAAGTTACTGAATTTATTTTTATTTAATAATAGTATTATCATTATTAGTAGTAAAGCGATGTAGTTTGAATCAAATTATGAGAATTAAAATATTTTCGTCGGTACAAGGACACCATTTTATGTTCTTGCGGTTTAAAATCCTGCACGCGAGGCCTGTCGTTCCAACCCTATCTTTTACGATCTTATAATCTAAAATTTGGCAAGTATAATAGATACCTATATAGGTTATACATTGGATAACATACAGGTGATATACAAATGAACAGTCCAAGAATACTTACCGATAATCTAGGACATTACTATTCCAATATTTGTAAGGGTGTGGAAAATATTTTTAGGGATTACAATTGTAAATAATATGTATTGTAGTATGTGATTGAAGGTCGTTAAAACTGTTACATATAATCGATAAGACCTTACGTAAGTTAAAAATATGTGTCCTTGACCGGACAAAGCGTTGCGCTTTGCGGCTAAAATAGGCTTACCTGAGTGGGCGTCCCTGTTTCAGTAGTCATGTCTGTCTATTTCCTTTTCTTCCGTGACATGTACCACATAAGGCTAGGTCCAACTACAGACTATAACTACAGCGGAGACATAACGCAATATCGATTTTTAGACTTCGCACAAAGCCGACCGAATCAAATCGTCCTCGCGCTCATTATAAAAAATCCGAAATTCGAACGCGCTAACGCGACGCCATCTTAATTTCGGCGCTACGGAATCACCTACGTAAAATGGAAAAACTCACTAAGCGAAAATTAAAGCTGAAGCAACACGGAACGTTAAAAGTACATTATTAATATTTATTTTTATTTCTAAAATACGGGAGCACGAACTAGTTGTTGCGTTTGAGACGTAACCACGGGGGTGTAAAAGAATTTTGCCGGCGGACAAGTGATTCGGGTGGGGTGGAAATGGCGCGCCTGCGCGAGCTCGCCCTGTGTGCGTGATTTGCGTGTATGCCATTACACACGCCAGGCTTCTCTGACCTCCCCCTCTGTACATTTCTCTTGATTCTAAGCCTATTTAGATAGGAATGAAAGGTCACCCTACATTGGTTTTATTCACAAATACAATCGATAATGCAGACAGCTCGGGAAATATCAGACATTTTGTCGGTAAGACAAAGCATTCGCAAAATGTCAAATGTACGCTGAATTAATGTAACGATAGATCGAAAAAGATACATATTGGCTACATCTATCACCAAAAGTATTTTATTAGAAATAGCTAAAGTAAAAATAGAACCGTTTTGCTACAAACGTTTTCGTACATATAAAAAAAAGGTAATGACTACATTTTTTGTTATAATTATTTTCATTAACAGAGAAGTAAGAACAAAATAGAAACAAAGTTTATGTTAATATTATGGTAAGGGAACAGACACGTTTTTGGTTAATAAAAGCAAATAGTTGATTAGGCGTCTGTACCCTTCTTCATTTTTAATGTTTTCCAAGGATTCGAATATCTGGAGTTATCGCAATACGTCTGACCACTAAATGAAGGGGGCACGTTATTTTTTGTTCAATAAATTATAGTATAATGCTATATTAGTTAGCAAGCTGACACATCACTAGAATTTATATATGTTGATGACAGCTATTAGCTTGTATACTAAATTCATAAATATTTTAGATTACAGTGTATGATTTAGACAGTGACTCGAAACCACAACGCAGATCGTACTCTTGCCTAAACAAAAGATTACGCGAATAGTACACACTGAAATAAAAATACATAGCGAAATTACTTAACAATATTTAATTTATTGTATTTAGCTGCCCCCGTGTCCTCGGCCGTTGCAAAACATTAGGAACGCAAAACTTAAAAAAGAGTTATATTATAAATTTCACGCTAAACCGTTTATTTAAGTCAACAAAAGATGTCGCAGTATGCATACATACAAATATACATTCTATAGTAATATATAGTTTGCATGGGATATAGTGAGCTGTAATTCAGCTCAGGCTAGCTTAGGCCTCCGGTCAATGAACCCAAAACGCGCGTTACGCTGAATAAAAGATGATACCGAGTACCCACTTGTGTCGCGTCGGAAGCACTCGCAGCAGCCACGTATTATAAAACATGGTATATAATTGATTTATATACCATGATATATGATATTTAGGTTGATTAATGCTTTTCGGTTGATGTAAGACGTCTGTTCTACATCCGACCTTTGATAGAAAACATTCTACAAAGTCGCCAGTGAATGGTATAGTTTAAACAACTGCTACAGCTAAGATTTTTTTTATTATTTTATTTTTTTTATAAATTCAAGGCATGAAAGTTCGTGGTTTAGTTATGTCTCTAAGCCAATATAAATACCTAAACTAGATGTAGATAATGCCGATCCCAATGCAAAACAACAAATAAATAATTCAAAGAACACCAAAAGTCTAATAAACTATAAATGGGTAGGTATTTGGATAATTATAAATTTTCATGTGTTCGTGATGTTTAGATGGATTTAGGTCTCATCACACAAATTAAAAAAAATTCGCTAACCAAGCGTTTGGTATGCATTAAAGACGTTAATAATATACTAAAAAAAAAACCTTATTTTGCATTTATTTAATACAGTGCTAGAAACGAATACATGTAATTACAATTAAAAAGAGATTTAACTTGATGAAAGGGTCACATAATCTGTTTAAAACCCTTCCCCCCATAGGGCACGGGGTGACTACATCTGTGTCCGCATAATAGACTTTTTTAAAGACAAGCCATTGATTAGACTAATATCTCCAACCTAATTAAAACGGTTTATTTTTCCCCCGGAATTCGAACTCAGAACCGAGAACTCAAGCGGTTAACACAAAACTTAACGCTTTGTAATATGAATCCTTATCTATAGTAGCGTCGTTACGCTATAAAAAACTCTAAGACAAGACAACAGATAAAAAATATATCATTCAGGATTTAAACAAAACACTAACGGTTTAATACGCGATATGGCTTGCAGCAGCCGTGGTCAGTCTCCTCGTGATCACGAAACGTCGAAATCGTTAATAATGGTTTTCAAATAAGTTTAACTAATATATCGCGTATGAAACCGTTAAAGTGTTTTATTTTAATGCGTACTACTCGCGTAATCTATAGACAGTATTTTATTATTCAGAATATTAATGTGTACGAAATAATTAATTTTAAACATTCAGTTATGATGCCTTGCATTGAAGAAGTCCTGGATTCGAGTACCAGTTAACGCTAATGTAAATGTTTCGATAGGTCAGGTTACAGAATTCCAATCACCTACTTGCCTGGCGAAGATATTTTTATACTGCGATACTGTGACGTCAATCGGAGACCTACTTTACTGTCATATAAAATCTTTATATTAGCAATATCAATCATTTTATTGAGATAATAATATTTTATAGCTAACTAAGTGGATGACTATTTCTCGTCTCCTTTTAAGGTTATATTCTCCTTCCTCATATAGAGACAGACACAATTTTGTGTCTATTTCACTAACCTATTCGATTTGTGAAATAGACGCAAAATTCTGCCCTGCCTGACCAGAAATTTTGTTCGGGCAGTGCACAGAATACAATCCACTGCAACGGTCATCATGGATAACACTTGGCCTTGTTTAATTTTATACATAAATACAAATTGTACGATTATTCCTTTCATAGAAATTGGTGTAATAGTCAAGATATTATTAGCTAATTGTAATAGATAATAGTAGCGATGTTTGGCTAATAACAAATGGGTCGTGGATTCGATTCTCATAAGGTACCACATTTTTCTAATGAATTTATATTTTTTTCCGAAATATGTTGGACTTTGTCTGAAAATTGTATAAATCAAATGGGTGGCAAGATTATCGAAATTCCGTCCGGGCCACGAACCACCGCCCACAGATAAAAAAGCCAAGTCAAGTTTAATGACGTTCATCGGATTCAGTCTGTGGATTTCGATATTTATTTGACGTAACCAAAAGTGAATGTCATGCTTGCCTGTCCTCCTCTAGCATAAAACAGACAATTTCTCTTATCCAGACAGCAATAAGAACTCATTTTTTCGCATTCCATTTACATTAAACGCCGTATACCAGAATAGCCTTGTAAACGATCACGAGACAATACCCGGTCTAGATTTATCGTACGTAACAAAAGGCGTAAATCAATACTAGTGTAATAATAGATATCCTGTCCCTTTGTTATCTATATTTTTTCTATAACAAGACTGCACCCATATTAATTTACTAGCTGACGCTAACGGTCTTTTGCCGTATAAAGTCAAAAATAAATCTTATGACTGTTATTCTTAAAGGATTTCTATCCTTACGGTCACGGGGAGACACGGCTGCTGCAAAGCATCCGAAACGTCGGGCCGAAGTTAAAAATCATTTTCAAATAAGTTTAACTAATATATCGCGTTTTAAACCGTTAAAGTATTTTATTTAAATCATTAAACTTCTATACCTGGCCGACCGAAACTATGAATCATTGGTATTTTCGCGAGATTCGCACCCAGCACCTCTAATAACGTATTTAAACATTGAGCTTCAATGGTGGAAAGATAATGTCTAGAATATAATCGAAAACCTCAAATGTAGTTTAATGGATTCGTAAATATTATGAGTGTTTCACTAACTAATTAAATAGACAAGTTAACCTCTTTCCTGTAAGTAGAGTATTAAACTGAAATCGTAGACTCGCCGTGCCCGACCTAAAGACCTATGTTGTACGGCTTCCTTTTGTATTATTTACCTTAATATCACACGGTGTTAATTTTAACGAAAATTCTTAATATTTTTTACTATTTCCCAACCGGCTTCGGGCTTTCTGTAATAAATTGTGGATTAATTTAAAAATCGAAAATAGATTGAAAAAAATTTCGACTCGGGCAGGACTTGAAACGGCGTGGTCAGCATTCCGTGCTGTTGCTTTACCAGCTTGAGACTCGGTAGCTGAAATTGTAGAGCAATAATGCCGGTTCAAGTCCTGTTTCATTCATTTTAACAAAAGTTAAAATGAATGAAAAGGTAATTGATATCTTACACATAACTTACCCCTATACTTATTATTATCATAACTTTTTGTACATATTTTTGCGATTATCATTCTGGGCATAATAATTCTTTCTTTCCTTATACTACTTTCGGTCGCTGCCCCAACAAAGTAAGTATACTTATTTACTTACTTTGTTGGGGCAGCAGAGCAGCGAATAGAATACGAGTAGTACGCGTATTCTATTCTACCATTCTTCTAGTATATAACTCACTAACTGTAGCGACTTCGTTCGCGTAGAATAGTTGTTTTGGGCATCCAAATTTGTTTTTGCAAACCTCTTCATGTTTATAAATTTAAGCTGCCCACGACATCAGTCGCGTCCCGTCATTCGGGTCCCATCGTTCTTATAAGTCAATCTTAAAAGATAGACATATAGTATCGCAGACATTTTGTTAGATTTTTTGGTTAACAAAAGACATTTTATCTGTCGGCAGACTTAAAATATTTCTGATTTTCGACACTAGATGGCAATGTAAGCAATAACAAAACTTATATGCACATTATAGTTAAAGATATGTATTCTGTTATATATGTTTCAGAAATTATTAAATATAAAAACGATTAAACACATCTTTTTATTTTATTAATAAAAATAAATAAAAGGTTTTTATGCATAATTGAATAACAAACACAATTACAGTTTGTCAATTGTCACTTTGGCATTATGTCTCCGACGTTGTTGTAATGTCGAAATGCAAAAATCAAAATACAAAACAATAAACATGGCCCAATAAACACAGTAAAGCTGTTAAAAACTGGAATGCTGGAATTGTTTATAGCAATGGCTACTGAAGTTACGGAAACGTAATCGTTCAAATAATGCTGTTAAGACCTTTACTTATAAATTCACGACCTCATCTCTATACCTGTATGACCCAAATTAGACACGCAAAGCCAACTATACAAGTCGGGAAGGACAAATTCCAACTATTTTTAGACGTCAGTCAATTCACAAAGGACGAGATACGTGTTAAGGCTCGCCCAGAATATGTTATCATTGAAGGGAAACAAGAAAGAAAGACCAAGGATGGATATATCATCCGAAAGTTTTTCAGAAAGTTCAAACTGCCTGATGGCGTTGATCCTCAGTCTATGAAATCAGAACTCTCTTCTGAAGGTTGTTTAATTATTACGGCACCCAGGCAAGCCTGTGAAGTCACATATCCGTGTGAAACGGTGATTCCTATAACTCGTACAGAAGCTAAACCTCCACCCGAACCCTTCCTTAAAAATGTAAATATTGAAAAATCCAAAGCACCACAAAAGGAACCCCCAAAAGATCAACCCACTATTAAAAAATGATATATTGTAAGTTTTTCGAGTCGAAATTAACTCAACTAAATAACATCTATTTATATAGGCAATAAGACAAATATAGCACTAAATAATATACATTTATTCTAACACTACAAGTATTTTTGAAACGCAACGCTAAAAATATAACATACTATTATTTTCTGAGTCATTCACACTAAACCGTCCGGTGTGTTTCAGCTAGAACTTTCGAGTACGAATACGCAAATAAACACGTCAGGATGAATAACATATTTAAAGACGATCGCGCCGCACTTCAGAACAGTATATCGCGAAAAACAAGCTGAAAATGTCGCTATCTCCATACTTTTTCGACTACGATCTACAACGACGATGGCCCAGACGCCTTCTCGAGCAGAACTTTGGCCTCGCCCTGTCCCCCGACGACATATTCACAGCAGCAACTAGTCCGATTATCCCACGTGTAAACAAATTCTGGTGGCCCCAAGAACCGAGTTCTTCCATTAAAGTGGATAAGGACAAGTGGTCTATCAACATTGATGTTCAGCACTTTGCCCCGGATGAAATTGCTGTTAAAACCGCTGATGGTTTTGTCGTCATTGAAGGTAAACATGAGGAGAAGCAAGATGAGCATGGTTTTGTGTCCCGGCATTTTGTGAGGAGGTTCAAAATGCCGCAAGAAGTTAACACTGAGGGTATTGAGTCTCGTCTTTCCTCTGATGGAGTCTTGAGCGTTTTGGCTCCCAAAAAAGGGGATGTGCAGAAGGGTGAGAGGTCTGTTCCTATTACACACACGGGGCCAGTGAGAAAAGAAGTTAAAGAAGAGAAGCCAGAACAAAAGGAAGAAAAGAATGAGTAGACTGATTTCATAGCTAAAGTGAACTAGATATTCTGGTAAATGGTGTTGTGAAATAAGAGACAGATCTTTAATATTATTTCTATCAAATAATGCTAATGATTCTGTAATCTTTCTTAATTTCAATTGATGAAATAGTGCTGATTGTGAGTTGACTGTTTTAAAAGACTGTTATATTTATTAAAGCAATTTTATACAATTATTTTGTATTTCATTTTTAATTCTGATAGGTTTTTTATTGAGAGAAGCTCGATCACTACTTTTTTATACATTGCTACATAAGCTACATTATGTTATTTAAAATCCTAAACTCTTTGGAATGTCAAATAATTATTTTAATAAACTTTTTGAACACCTTTGGCTACCTTATTTAAACACATATAGACAAATATATCTGAATATCTGTAAATTAATAATTACAAAAAATATGCCCTAACCTAACCTAAATACTGTCTATAGTTTACGCGATTAGTACACATTTAAATAAAACACTTTAACGGTTTAAAACGCGATATATTAGTTAAACTTATTTGAAAATGATTTTTAAAGCATCCGAAACGTCGGTCCGAAGTTAAAAATCAACATTTCTAGATCGTTCGGCAACATTTCTAGATCTTTATGTGCCACATTTAAATACATTTATTTATTTACGAATGTAAGTTCGTAAAATACCATTGTTTATATTATACTTTATACTTGGGTTCGAATCTTGAGAAAACTTAATACGGCCATATACAAACACAGGACGCAGAAGTATGTTTAACTAATTGCAAAATAACATAGACATATCGAATTGAGTATTTTTTTTAAGTTAGTGCAGGATAAACACGCCTGTGGTTCACTTGATGGTAGGAGCACGGAAAGCTGACGATGCCGGTTCAAGTCCTGCCCGAGTCGAAAATTTTTTCAAATTATTTTCGATCTTTAAATTAAATAGTGCCTTCATGTGCAATAACATGTGAAAAATATTAATGTTTTCAAATCTTAAAGTGCATAAGACTTAAGAATATTCATAACTATTAGTTACGACTCTTTCTGTCGTCTGCTTAAACTATCGTCAGTAGTAAGTACTACATTTACCCACGTTAAGTTGCGAAATGATAATGGAGAACGGACTAACTAACTATTTATTTACTTACGAAGCACTAAGGGAATGACGTAGGTATATCAGTTTCAAGAATGTAAAACTGAACCTTCGTGGGAAGCAGATATCATTTTTCAACACAAAATATAACTAACTGCGTGTGTTATTGTTTTAGTTGCAATCTTCGATTTTATTATTTTATAAATTTCACTGTTCCTTTACTGGCTGAAAATCAGCGCTGCTAAATGTGGCAATCACTCATCAGCACAGCTGTGACTTGTACCGATTACCATTTATCTATTTATTAATAAGGTTCACAATTCAATACTTATAAAATATAGTTAGAATTGTGTTTAATCGAGAAATACCTAAATAGTTTTGAATTTGATCATTTCAAGTAGGTAGGTAGCAAATATTTACATAACGCCGGTAGAAATAAAAATTGCATGCAACGTCTTTTCAAATATTTATATCATATTTGCTCGTAAAGTGGTTGTAATTACACAAATTTCAATATCGTAATGTATCTCATTACGTACTTGTGCGATAATGTAATAAAAGGCACGTGTTTTTTTAATAAAGTTTTAAGATACTCCGTCTCAAAATGAACGATACTTTTAAAAATCTTAGCAAAGAGGTTTAATGTCAAGAAAGTCGTCAATATTTTACTTGAACTTCAAGTCAACTTTAAGTCTTTAAAAAACATTTAATTCTTTAATTTAATTAATTTTGACAATAAATTACAGCCATATATCTATAACAAAAACACAAAAATATTAATTTACTTTATTAGTAATACTGGCTGTTGTTGTACCTTTGCCTAAAGAAATAACGTTGATGCGCGCGCATCGCTAAGTTAGAGTTTTATTAATTTCCTCGTAAATATGTTATAAAACGTTGTATGACATACCTACGTGCGCTTTGAAAATTACAGCCTCTGCTTTCTTATAGCCCTCGCCGGTGGCTCGGGCTAGTAATATCGCCTCGGCTGTTTTTAACTTACCGCACTTATATCATAATGTACTATTATTACATGAGAAAGATTGCTTGTCTAGAATTCAACAATCTTATAAGAACTTTAAATACGAATTACGGTTATTGAATCGACTAGTTAAAAAATATGGGTAAATAAAACAACACATTACGGACTTATTAAAATGTATTAAACAAAAATTAAAACTATCAGTCATGAGAAAATAAAATGGAATGACTTAAATTATTGCGCCTTGTCGCCGTTAGCCTGATCCTTGATCTCCTTGCGTACAGGTCCGGTCTGTGCGATTGGTACACTCCTTTCACCTTGAACTGCTGGAGGCACCTTCCTCGGAGCGACCACAGTCAACACGCCATCAGAGGACAGACGCGATTCAACAGCCTCGGGAGTACAGCCCTCCGGCAGCGCGTAACGTCTAGTAAACTGACGGGATATGTAACCATGTTGGTCCTTCTTCTCTTCATGTTTACCTTCCACCACGATGTACCCGTCGGCGGTCTTAACGCTTATTTCCTCTGGGGTGAAGTGTTGAACGTCCAAATTCACCTGGAATTTATCTTTGTCGCTTTTGATGCTGGAGCCAAGGTCTCGGGTCGCCGCCGCCATGTGCCTCCAGGGCCTGTAGTACTCCCGACTCATGACGGGACCGGCTACCACGCTTAAAAGATCATCGGGTGTTAAACCTAATCCGAAGTGTTGGTCGATAAGACGACGTGGACGTTCCATCTCGTAGTTCAATAAGAAAGGTAGGAGCGACATTTTTGTTATAAATAATAATTAATTCAGCAACTCGAATCACGTATGGATGAAAGCGCAGGAAGAAATTTCGCACTCAGTATTACGAATCGCTGTGTAACTTCAACAATTGTTTGTATCTGACTGACGCTTACCGGCCGGCTTTCGTTGTTTATATGGAACCAGCATTCTAGAGTAATGTAGAAAATTCGCGACGCCGCATATAACGTCAACCTTTGGTCCATTGATAAACCGCACTATTGCTGTAAGTGTAACAAAATCTTAATGAAAATATTTTTGTATATCAGTAATCGTATAAACATTCATTGATATGTAATAATAATTAATTAGCTATGTTTCAAGAGTCATAATTTCTCCGTATACTATAATTACGAAAGCTTTTATGCAAATATAAAACATTGTATGTGTGTCTATTTGATGCTTATATTGAAAATAAATACACACTTGCCGATTTGATTATGGCTTATTACTAATAATACAAGTTATACTATGAATTGAAAATAAAAATTATTACTTGCAAAAAGGCCTTATTGCCGTCAGTAACACTACAAAAACACTTTTGTATATCAGTAATTGTATAAACATTATTTGCATACATTCATTCTTTGATACGTAGTATAAAAATAAATTACCTTTGGTTTGAAAATAGAGTTTCTACTTATTATATCCAAAAAAATGTAAATAACCAAAATTTTAATGCAACAAATAAAACAAAGTAGTAGTATGTATTTATGTCGAATGGGTGTTGCCCACTTGAAACAGTTTACCACTTATACTATCTCACTAATATTATAAACGTGAAAGTTTGTATGTGTGGATGGATGTTTGTTACTCTTTCACGTCAAAACTACTAAATGGATTTCCAATAATATAGCTTATACATCAGAATAGCACATATGCTACAAGAAAAATTGTTGAGCCGAATGACAAGTGTCAAGTAACTAGGAAAAAATTACCTTTCTCGAGCTATTCTGGCGTCCTGCATAACGTTAGCACTAATATGTAATGTAGATATAAAACTCATTTAGTTTAAATGCACGATACTACGTAATCATCTACTTCCGCAACGGACGGTATAGTTAGTTATATATATCGTAAAAAAATCTACACAATCTACATCATACATTTTTAAACCATTTATTAAAAAAAGAAAGGCTTATAAAAATATATGTTTATTTAATTTGTTATGTATAACAATATATAATTAATTATCAAAATTCACTTGGGATATAGTATTCGTACATTGCGAAGGTTTGTCACCTCTGTATAGAATAGTCCAGAAACAAAATTCTATTCGCGAAAATTCTATGACGAAACTACTGACATCTAGTGGCGAGTAGTGAAACCGTTAAACATTATTTTCCTTGAAAGCGATCTTAAGACCAGAAATACTACAGATGTCACTAAATTAAATATATTAGATTTTAATATTGAAATCAACGCCCTCTATAACATTACAGGAATATTGTGTAGCAACAGTACTAAATAAAGAAAAAATATTTGTTATAATATTATTGTAATTTAATTGTTGTGTGAATAAAAATCTTGAAAAGTGATATTTAATATTATTTCTAATGCTAGAGATAGTTTCAAAGGGAAACTAATAATTATTTAGTGATGGCAAATCATATAAGTGTTTACTGTAACAGTTTAGCAATTCGCCAATGTTCCGATAAGAAATAATCGATTTTAGTTAATAACATAAAGAAAAGGTGTATTATATTTTTATTTAATATTTTTAAATTGTCTTTATTTAAAGTTTTTTATCACGGAGTGATTCATAGCGTTATATTCGATAAGTAATATTTGTAGTATAATTGAATACAACTACTTAAATAATATTTTTTAAAGTAATGTGCGAGTTATTTGAAAGTACAAAACCTGGCAACACCCGTCTATACACCGTCATCGAAGTTCAAACAGCAAGTTGAACTCGTTCGTTGAACGAGCTGGGGCGCGAGTAGATTAGTTATTTGTTTCTTTCATTTTGCTATTGCGTATTACGTTCACGGTTACAATTACAGTGATATTGTGACGCTCTTTGTATTTAATCGTGCATCCAGCTAAACCGGCGAACAGTGGTGTGCTTGTTTAATATTATTTGCTAGGTCCGTGTTGTGAAGTGATTCTTAGTACCTACGTACATTTTAGTACAACGATATAATTGTCGTAATTAAAATTCTGTGATAAAACTTTAGCAATGGCAGATAATTCAAAACTGACCGAGGAGGAGCGCGTTGAAATTAGGGAACAGTTTTCTCAGGTAAGTGGCGTTTTATCTTATAGGCCGGTAACAATGTAAGGTGGACAATCCACTTTGATTCGAGTATCGTACTATTAAAATACAATCGGATCAAGTATGTATATGTTTTATATCAACAAATTGTTTATTAAAGACGAAGTCTTGCTTAATATGCTAAGATTGACGCCGCGTGTGGTCAAAATTCTTGAAATCTATTTTGCAAACTGTACTTTGATAATAAGAAAATGAAATGATGTAATGATTTCCTAGGATTTAGTAAGATTTTTGATTAATTTAATAAATAAAATATAATATTTTAAAATTCGTAGTTCAATTAATAATTAAATTTAGGAAAATATTATGCAAAACTTGTCTATAAAATGAAAATTTATGCAGCAGACACAAAAACGTAACTTAACATACCTGAGTATTGTTTTCATATTCTGATCTAATGCAATGGTTACATATACGAAATCTTCCGGCTACACTACTAACTACACATGCATTTAATCATAATTTCTATTTTATTCCATTAAAATTTAATACACATGGACTGACATATAAAATACAAGGACATATCGGAAAGAAATACAATACCATGTCAAGGAGACAGCTGTTATGTGGTTTGAATATGAAAACACATGGCAAAACCAAATTGCCTCTTGTGTAACCAATGACACATGCTGAGAATATTCAACGTCTACAACGAGTCGTGATCAGGACATTGTATAATATACATTTAAAGTTTTATTAACGATTTGTTTCTACCAACAATCAGTATTCGTAATACAATGATTTTCTCAAAGAACATCAAACTTAATAGACCATAGAGTGTAAAGAAACTGAATTAATTTTGCAATCAATGAAGAAGAATGTATTCAAATGAAAAATCCACTTTCACAGTTTATTAGATAATGCACAGAGCATATGAGAACAATAATTATAATTGTGACTGCCTCTATAGCTCAATGTGTTAATAAGAGTGATCCTACATTCATATCTCTGGAAATCAATAAATTTTTTGCCTGTGAATAAAATTAATGAGTAATTGTACTACAGTAATGGTTTTGCCCCATGCCCTACAGGAGGAACTGAGATTTTGCTTTTTTTACTATAAATTAGTTGCATCTGGTAGCAAATTGATTATTTTCGATGTTCTGTGAAATTTCAAAATTGAACTTTAATTTGTTCTAAAAATTTAATCAAGGTCGATCAGGGAATGATTGTAAAATAATTTGTTGATCTATAATATAAATAATCAACAATCAACATGCTTTGGCAGATAAAATGCACCTTATCGTAACTTCAACGGATAAGATAGTATTGATAAGGCCTAAAAATTAGAAACAAATTTGTTTTCAATATACAAGTATCTTGTTCTCTACTCAATATGTAATAACAGTCATAATTTTAATATCACAAGTACAAACCGTAAGCAACTTACTTACCTAGGTCATAACAAATATGTGACAGATACTAAAGACATTTTTTAAAATTAAATTTCCACCTGGTGGGTTTAATTCCAACCGCTTTTAAAAAAATTATAATAATATCCAACCCACTAAAAGGGAGGAATTTAAAATTCCCCCCCCCTTGGGGGTTTTTTTTTTTTTTTTTTTTAAAGGGGGGGGAAAATTTTTTTTTTTTTTTTATGTTCATTAAGACATATATATACTTAGTTTTATTTTTATAAAGGTCAGTAAATGTATAACAAGTAAATGCATTTAAAACACGATTTATTCCGCTTAAATTTATCGCCTTTTGCACCAATAAGGTAATAATCAAGATATTAATTTCACTTCAAGGCAAAGATTTAAAATTATACACTTATTGCCTGGAACGGTCGATTTTTTCGAGGTCAAACTCCTTCCGCTGTTTTACTCACTGGCGTGCAAGAAAGATACACATTTAAGTACCTTAAATCTTTATATAAAATTTATTATAGGGGAGTTGTCTGTAGGTTGTCTGTTATTTTTTTACTTAAGAGTAAAAAAATATGATAAAACTTTTGAAATAATTATTATTGTTGATTTTGACATTCTATAGAGTATTAAAACGCCATATATATATTAATTAAACAGGTGTCAAAATTATTTTAACTTCGGCCCGACTTTTTCACTTTGACATCAGAGACAACCCCATCTTTAGTCTCCCCGTGACCACGGATGCTGCAAAGAATCCGTCTGGCCATATTAAAGTAATTTTCAAATAAGTTTAACTAATAAATATCGCGTTTTAAACCGTTAAAGAGCTTTATTATCCTTCCCCCCCCCCTCTATCATGCAAAAACTTTCAAATACAAACTCTTCAATTACTAAACCCAGCCAAGCTAGAAACTAAATGTACACCGACCTTGTCGTGGAATGTTGTCTCGTCTTTGTCTACCTAATGACGCCGAAGTATAGTGTATGTACCTATCCAGTAACAGGACTTGTATGAAGATGGGACCTGTTACTTGCAAATAAATCATAACATTTAAGTGATTGCCATATTTTATCGTAATTATAACGCATGTCGTGTCTTAGTTAAGGATCAATTAACTATAAATTTCGCGTTAGGCACCGTTAAAGCTGTTTTATTTAATTATAATATACTTACCTAGTTATATGTATGATTATTTTTCTGTTTCTATTCTTTAAAAGACTTAAACTTTCACACTTTAAGTATTCAACAAAGAGACACAGTCTCGCCATGACCACGGCTGCTGCAAAGCATCCGAAACGTCGGGCCTAAGTTAAAAATCATTTAAAATAAGTTTAACTAATATATCGCGTTTTAAACCGTTAAAATGTTTTATTTAAATGTGTACTACTCGCGTAAACTACGGACCGTATTTATATTACAGTAGTTTCAAAAATAATTCTATATTAGCACTTAGTAATACCAATGCAAAGACAAAGTAGGTCATTTGCATCCGCTGCGCGTAATAAAACACGTTTGCGGAATTCCATGGTGTTTGAGTCATCGAAACTTAAATTTAAAACAAGTTGACGTATATATGATGACGTAAGTGACAAATAACTGTTTATGCATTAGTTATCTACCCTTTTTACCTTGGCCTGAGCTTACGCTGAGTCTCCCCGCGACCAAGGCTGCTGCAAAGCATCCGAAACGTCGGGCCGTAGTTAAAGATAAATCAAACAAGTGTAACTAATACATATCGCGTTTGAAACCGTTAAAGTGTTTTATTTTAATATTATTTGTTTTTTAAACCTGCTTCGTCAATCATGATAGGTACATTTTACGCTTTTTATTTAGATTTTAAATTGTATTAAGATAGTATTTAGTACCAATCGTAAGGTAATTTTCTTAGGCAAACACAATCTGTTTGTATTATATATATATATGAGTCACCTCTGTTCCGATTTCGCTAAACGTATTCAATTGGTGACGGAGTTATTAGTACCGTTCATGCATATTCTTAGAACAATTGTCATGAAATTACTATTGCAATTAACCTTTCAACGAGGTTTTGAAAACCAATAAGTAGTTACGACGTCAAGGAGTAACAAACTTTCACACGTTTACAAACGTTCTTTCTGGTCTTCATTACATTAATTTCCAAAAGCTCTTGGTTCCTTAAAATAATACAATTCATTGTTTAGAGTTTAAACAGTCAGGGATTTTGTATTTCACCTAAAATGCTATTATACTAGCTGACCCGGCAAACTTTGTTTTATTGTTTGTAAGATTGATACTATTATCTTGATACAGTCACCAAATCTTATTACCATAAAATAAAAATTAAATATCCTTATTCTCTTTAAAATTAAAAAAAAATGTTTAATTCGTCAAACATTGTTTGTCTGTCTGTTCGTCGTGATTCTACAGAGTGTTCAAAAGAGCAACACAACTGAGAACACCCAAGAAACTCAGTCCGGCTTTTTTTAACATAAAACCGGTTATTTCCATGCAATTTTTAAAAGATTTGTACTGCCGCCATTTTTTTTAATAATTTATAGAGGAATTATTCTTACATACATATTTTTTTGTTTCTTAAACAATTTTTCCCGATTCCGATGAATAATTTTTCCGCTTTTTTTTCCTCGTATAGCCTAAGGTCTCGATAAAATGGTCTTTCCAACATAAAAATAATTTAACAATTTGAACCCGTAGTTCTTGAGTTTAGCGCGTTCAAACAAACTCTTCAGCATTATAATATTAGTATAGATGTTAGGGACTAGGCCACTGTCCTTTCCCTGCCGCGTGTAAAGTGAAATTTTAATTGTGTCGCGAAAGGGTTGAATAAGGGGGCTTCGTAGTGCGTCACGCGAATGGTCAATGCCAGTGTCCAATCTAAGTTATAGTTACTAATTCAGTTTCATAGGCAGGGGTAACAAATCAATACTCAGTTTGAAAGGGTCGTCTCCCCGGCTTTAAATTGACGAGTATGTAAATTTTGCAAGAGGATTTTTCGTTTGGACAGTCAGCGCCAGTTACAGTCGAGAGATAAAAAAGTGCAGAGCTAGTAGATTTTCTATTCGACTGTACATATGGACGCTAATGTTATAAGAGCTAAGTTTTCGGTTGTTTAAACGTGCTAATTTCAGGAACTACAGGTTTGATTTCAAAAATTTTCATTTATCGAGCTAGGCTTTAATATGTTTAATATCCCGCTGCGATCAAGAGAAGCGGAGAAATAGAGGAAAACGTTGAAAGAACTGGGGATACTATTCATTTTTGTGGGCCTCCGTGGCATTCGCTGCAAGAACGGTTCAAGAAACCAAAAAATATATGTATGATAGAATGATTTCTCGACTTAAATGTCTATCTATCTATCTTTTAAGATTAACTCGCAAGAACGAGGAAACGTTGTGGGCAACAGCGATATATTATAAAGCTAAGGAGGTTGTTTGCAAAAATAAAATAATGCCCTAAATAACTATTCCACGCGGACGAAGTCGCGGGCGCAGCTAGTTGGTTTACATTCATTAGTTTTATTTATAGTTTTGTTTCACTAGGCTTCACGGACATAGAATGCTCCATTAATAAACATAATGTTAAATACTGTCTATAGTTTA